CCACGCTCCAGGAGCCCTCAGCTCCCAGGACCATGGCCGGGCAGCGGCTTGCCCGCAGGCCGGCCTCCCCCTCCCGGCCCCGGGCTGAGCGGCCCACGCAGGGGGTCGCGGGCCTCCCACCCAGGGTCCGACATCAGCCCCCGGGGCGGCGCGGGGCGCTCGCCAGCCCTGGGAGGGGCGAGGAGGTGCCGGAGAGGGCCCTCACAGGCCGGCCAGGACCCGGCCGCGCACCGCCGGCCAGTGTCTGGCTGTGGAGGCCCGTTGTATTCTGCTCAAGGTCCCCATTCCTTGCGTGTGCAAGGGGCACGTTAAGTCTGTCTGTAATGGACTTGACTCTTTGCAGCTGTCCCCAAATGTCCCGACAGCTGGCCGCGCTACAGGCCCACTTCACGTCCAGGGGGCTAGTGCCCCAGCCCCCGCCAGGCTTGGCCAAGAGCTCCTCGCTCGTGGAGGCCCCGGGGGGTGGGAGGGCAGGGGCGGGGCCGAGAGGAGGCCCACCTTGGGGTCGGTGACCGGGAGCCGGAGGTCTGGGCCGAGGCCAGCCTTAGGGGTCACTCATTCAGCATAGAGCTGGTGGACCCTGAGCAAAGGGCGCTGCTGGACAGGGGCCAGTCGTGTCAGGGGGACAGGTCCAGGGGGACGTGGCCAGGGCACGGGCGGGGGCCAGGCTGTCCACATTGGGGGACACGGCTCGGCCGCAAGGACGGACCAGAGGCCACGTTGGCAGCCAGGGAGGAGCTCGGGGATGACGGGCAGCGAAGTGGTCAGAAAGGTGCGGGACACTGTCCCGTGCATGGGTGAAGCAGGACACAAGCAGGGAGCTCCGATGAACTCGGGGAGCAGTGCACTGTGTCAAACCCCAAGAAGTGTGCCGAGGCCCCTCAGCCGTGGGGTCTGTCCGGAGCACCGAAGCCGGGGCTGTCCGGAGCTTCGTGGACCGAGACCGCGGGGCCAGGCGCTGGGCCGGCCGCGCGGGCTCCAGGAGGCAGATGCCCGCATGGCCCTGGCCGCAGCGGGGAGCGAGCGGGAGGGGCAGGGCGAGGCAGAGGCGCCCACGGGGGAGGCGGGAGCCCAGCTCGTGCAGGAGGTGCCCAGGCCGAGCCGCGTGGCGCCCACCCGCAGGCCACCGTCTGCTGCCAGACTGCGCCGTGCGCGAGGCAGGGCCGGGAGTGGCCCCCCGCCTGCTGACTCGGGGCCCTGGCTCAGGCCTGGGTCCCTGTTGGCGATGGCGACACTCGCGCCCGTTCAGGAACCGAGCTGGGGTGGCCGTGGCCGCCGCTGGCCGCCCGGCCTAGCCGCTCTCGGGGTCTGCCTTGCTGCTGAGCCTCAGGGACTGTGGCCCCCCAACTGGGCTGGGCCCCAGGGTTCTGCATTGCCTGAGACTGGAAATGCCAGGCTGGGGCAGAACGGGGGAGGGGGAGAGGCCAGGGTAGGAGAGGGTGGGCTCCCCACTTCCTGTCCTTCCTTTGGGGTGGGGGGCGCTCTGGCAGGATCCAAGCCACAGGCAGCTTCCAGACAAGCCCTGCAGGGGGTGGGGGAGGCGGTGTTGGGGTTCGTGGTTGGGGGGCTGTTGGAAGGGCCCCTCCAGGCACCAGAGGAGCCATGCAGGAGTGTGGCCCCAAGGTTGGGACTGGGGGGAGCCGCCCTGCAGGGCCCGGGCAAGCGCTGGGTGTCCTCACCCACCCTCACCACCCCGAGGAGCCCCGGCCTCAGTTCCCACGCCCCAGCTCCCCATGTGGCCCCCAGGACCCAGACAACTGGATTCTTGCCTGGAAGCCTGCCCCTCGCCCCAGGGCCTCCAAGACTCCCTACTTTTTTTTTTTTTTTTGCATACAAAAACTGGGGTGCGGGCCAGAAATGTGGGGGAGGTGAAAGGTTCACCAGAGTCAGAGTGGGGCAGAACAGGCAGGTCCACTGAAGTCCACGGCCGAGGGGGCAGCGGGGCGACGGGGCGTCTGTGGCACCCTGTGGGTCCCGCCCTGGCCGGGGAGTGACGTCACAGCCAGACAGTGGGCGACACCTGCAGTTGGGCTCTGTGGCCCGTCACCACCGAAGTCCACTCGGCTGTCATCTGGGTTGTTTTGACTCGTTCGTTTGTCTTTATAGCCCGGAGTGGAGTCACAGGGTGTCTCCCTTGTGTGTCAGACGCGCGTCACCGGGCGCCCTCACCCCGCTCCTCACGCGGCAGACGCCGGGCTTGTCTCAACGGAGAACAGCAGCTGATTTTCTGTCTCTGGGAAGTCCTCTCACCACCCAGGCACCTGTTCCTCAGTTGATTTTTTCAAATATTTATGGTCGCACACAGAACTGGGGCACAGGCCAGAGGTGCAGGGGCGGTGAGAGGCATCACCAGAGACAGAGCGGGGAGCAGGACAGGCAGATGGACAAAGTCCACTGCCGAGGGGAGCAGCGGGCGGGGCAGGAGGGGTCTGCCACGTCCTGTGGTCACCTCCGGGGCTGGCGGGGATCGAACTCATGCGGAAGCGGCTTCAGCTTCTTAGTGCTGTGCTGTAAGCCGCTGCGCCACCAGGGAGGGCTCCCTGCACCCCAGTTTTGTATGCATTTTTAAAAATATAGGTGTTTTAATTTGAAGTCCCAAAACGTAAGTAAATTTTAGGAATCACAAAAATACTCAAAGGAATGGGAGACCTAGGCTGCAGATCTCCTCAGGCCATTCTTCCTGTACGTGGGGGTGTATGCCAGAGTGGGGCTACGGGATCCTGCAGAATGTTTTTTAATTTATGCACACGAGAACTGGGACACAGGCCAGAGGTGCAGGGGTGTAAGAGGACACCCCAGAGACAGCGGGGAGCAGAACAGGCGGATCCACTGAAACCCACTGCTGAGGGGCGGCGGGGACAGGAGGGGCCTGCACGTCCCCCCACAGCGGGGTGAGCGCCTCCTCGGGGCTGCGGTCACCAAATGCCTTCTTTGGGGAAGGCTTCCTCAGGCTCGGCCGTGATGGCACCTGCCCCCCGCGACTCTGGGCCCTCGGCCAGCCCCCCCGCAAGTGTCCGCCCAGGACAGTCAGCTGGAATCTCCCATCCTGCTGTCTCCCCGGCGCTCCCTGTTCCGTGCCTGCCTGGCAGACGGAGGCCAGGCCCTCACCTGCCGACCCCTGCACCCCTGGAGGCCTCCCAGTGTCAGGGGCTGGGCTGTCCACTCGCCACGCAGGGCCGGAGGCCGGAGCCCAGACCACTGGCCTGTCAGGTGTGGACCAAGTCGCCTCCAGCCAGCTGTGCTCACGTGGCCGGCGGTGGGTCCGGCCAAGCGGCCACTGTTCTTTCCCCGACCAGCTGAAGATCTGGGATGTGTCCAGGGTGCCAGGCTGGGGTGGGTGCTGCAGGTGGGCATCAGGCACAGCTGTCTCGAGGCGGGCGGGACCCTCGCCTCCACCTTGGGGGCCCCCACTTTGCCCTTCCCCCAGGGGTCGGCAACCCGACTCTTCAGAAGGGCCCGAGCCCCACCAGCCCTAAGTGCAGACTTGCAGCCAGAGCTAACCTGGATGGAAATGTAACGACGAGACCTTGTAAACCCAGACCTGAAAGCCAGGGCCCCGGTGCCCAGGCACGGGGCGCCAGCGTGGCAGGCTCCCCGCAGCTCAGGCCCCCGCTTCGCAGACACGGCGCCACCAGACCCCAGGCTGAGCGGGTCCCGCTGGAGGCCCCCGCCTGTTGCCCGCTCGCGCACACGGGGCCGGGCACGGGGCGAGTGAGGCCGGCCCTGGGCCCTCTCCCGGCTGCCCGCTCCCCAGCGCTGCCCGCTCCGGTGCAGCTCTGCCTGGCTGGCGGCCGCGCTGGGCCGAGAACCCAAGGCCGACCGAAGGGCCGTGGCCCAGGAAGCCCCCCCAGTGCCCCGAGGACCCCACAAGCAGCTCTGGGAGCCCCGGCCCGCACTGCCGGGGGTCCCCGGTGCTGGAGGGCGCGCGGCACCTGCTGGACCTGGAGCTCTGCATTTCCTGCCAGACGTGGGCTGGTCACCCGCAGTGCGCCAGGGGAGCCCGGGCAGGAAATGGGGGGCCGGGGGCAGCCCCCCTTAGCATCGAGGGAGCCCAGACGCAGGCGGCACTCACCAACGCACTTTATTGCACTGAGACCTCGGCGGTGCCCGAGGGGTGCCGGCACGAGCACCTGAGCACGCGGCGCCTGTGCCGGGGCTCCGTGGGGCTGGGGGGCTCCAGGCCAAGCACCCCTCAGAAAGAGCAGGGGTGGCGGGGCAGCGCGGAGCCGCCGTGTCGGGCCAGCACCGTTTTGACCGCACGGGGGGAGCCCGGGACAGGGCCAGCTGTCACG